ATCGTGCACCCTTGCTTCTGTGCAATGCTGCCCAAGGTGCCGTAGCAGCCTTTCAACCCCGGGTCTGCCTTCGGCACACGAGCTGAGACCCCCTTAGCTGCACTCCCTCGCTGCCTCTATCTCATCCTCATCCTGCCGCTCTCCAACTGCAACGGAGCAGGGCGAGACCGGGGCTCTGCCAGCACGCTCGCCTGCTCACGCACCAGCCAGCGTGTCAGCCACTCGCTGGCTGCTTTTCTTTGCAGAAATGCCCGGGGCTGGTCAGCCCTCTGGGAGGCCATGGGGCAGTGCAAGTGCTGCTGCACTCTCCCTCGCTGTGGGTGAATGGTGGCACCAGGCTTGTTATATGGTTTCCACTCAGCTCTCTGCAATAGGCTGCTTTGAGGGGCCCGGTGCTATTAAAAGGGGACGAGAGCATCCCAGGAGGAGTCCTCCTCTCTGCAATTGGTCCAGGAGGGCAGAAAGGCTGCAGCCAGGGTGAAAGACAGGTCAGCAACATCTGACTTGTGTTTCCCTAGAGCATATCCACTCAAGATTGTTAATCTCCCCAGGAAATGAGAGTTTACCCTTCCCTTTAGATGAGCAAGTCCTGCTCTTCACCCTCCAGCCCATTGACATCCTGGCTTTCCTGATCCAGAGCACCTTACCTCATGGCATTTCACCTCAAGACCTGTCTGTGTCTTTGCTGTCTTCTCTTCGGAGCATTTCCCGCTCTGGGCAGCTCTGTCTTCCCTGTAGCATGGTTTGTATGCGCAGGTACATGCTGCCCAAGGTGCACCTCCCCGTTGGTCCCATGCTCTGCCAGTCCCAACGTCCTTCAGCAGCCCTGGCTCTGCCTGAACCTCTGCTTCTTTTCCAGGGCCCCCTTCTGCTCCTGTGAACCTGATCTCCAGTGTAAATGGCACTTCGGTGACACTGGAGTGGGGCCCGCCCCTGGACAAGGGGGGACGCGCTGACATCGTGTACAACGTGGTCTGCAGGCGCTGCGCGGGGGACGCTGGCCAGTGCGAGGCGTGCGGCAGCGGGATCCGCTTCGTGCCCCAGCAGATGAGCCTGGTGCAGGGAGCGCTGACGGTGACCAACCTCCTGGCCCACACCAACTACTCCTTTTGGGTGGAGGCCGTCAACGGCGTGTCCGACCTCAGCCTGGAGTCCAGGAGAGCTGCAGTTGCCAACATCACGACGAACCAGGCAGGTAGGAGGAGCAGACACCCCCCTCCAGGCTTTGCCTGTGTGGGTGATGCTGATGGTGCTCCAACATTGCTCCAACCAGTATCTGCAGGGGCCAGAATCTGCCCTAGCAGCCAAGGGCTGGTTTGGTGATGGGCATGGGACCCCCAGGAGATGTGACCCCCTATCCTCTCTGCTGCTGGAGGTGGGTTCAGGGAGCTAGGATGGGCTGGAGACAAGCTGCTGCCCAAGGCAACTCTTACCCTTCTTTGGTTCCTGGTATCCTTTTTCATCCTTTCCCTCCGCTTCAGCCTGCAACCGGTGTTGGAGGCTCCTTTTCTGCAGGAGACAGGCGGCAGGGAGAACACTTGTTTCTTGACAGGAACACTAAGTAGAGCATGAATCTTTCAGGCTGTTCCTCCAGCCTTCTGTCCCTTCCCAAAGGGCCAAGCAGCAGTTCATGCTCTGCCCTTAGTTCACACCTATGCCAGGCCCTGGCAGGTGACAGCAACGTTTGCTGGGAAAAGTCTCTCTCGTGCATGTCTCATCTTTTTAAATCCCTTATGTGAAATGCTCTTTTCCCAGGAAATACTTCCGAGCGATGCTCTAGCCCAGGTGGGCCAGACCTTGCTCCAGGGTCACCTGGGCATCTCCCCAGAGCGGAGCCCAGCTAAGCCCCCTTCCATGGAGCACGCTGCGGGCGGAGGGGACAGGGCAGGGACTGACCCTTCTTGTTAATCCTCCCAGTTGGAAACGAGCCCACGGGAATTTCCCGTGTTGCTGAGCCCCTTCTGCTCTCATGGCGGTGGTGCCAGCAGGAGAAACCTCGTTGGCTTAGCTCATGGCTGGCACGAGAACAAGGCCCTTTTGTGACTAATGCCTGCCCGTAACACTTCTTCACCCTCCGCCGAGCCCACGGGGAAACGGCTCAGTCCTGCCGGCTCGCTCCTGCGTGATCCCTCCAAGCGCTGACGAGCAGCATCAGCCTGATGCCTCGGAGGGGGATGCTTTTGGGAAGTGCTGAATATTCCCGTTTCAACCTCTCTGCTGGAAAGTGGATGCTGAGCAGGTGCTGCGAAACCAGCGGGGTTGGGAATTTGGTAGTGATTGAAGTTTAGCTGCCGTGCCTGCGCGGTGC